GTGTGTGTGTGTGATTGTGCATGTGGGTGTGAGTGCGCGCGTGTGTGGGTGTGTGTGTGAATGTGTGTGTATGTGTGTGTGAGAGATTGTGCATGTGGATGTGTGTGTGATTGTGTGTGTGTGTGTGTGTGTGTGTGTGTGTAGGGGTGTGTGTGTAGGGGTGTAGAGGACAGTCCAGCAGACAGCCAAAAACTTACATTGACGCAGAAGAGAGTGGTCATTCGGTGGAGGTAGTTGGGATTGGTTGACATAGACAGCACCTTGGGAAGGATGGTGTTCTGAGCCCAAACCTTGCCGAACTTCTGGGTGAGCTTCTTCAAATTGTTGGTGGCTGCCTCACGAATGGCGTACACTGGGGGGTGGGGAGAGATGGAAAACATCACAAATTCTAGGCCAGAAAGACCACGATCGAGAATGGATATCTACCAACCCCGCACTGTACTCTCTCTTGTCAGCACAGCTTCACACTGGGCTTAAGCCCTTCAGAAAATTCCGTATTTCTGCAAAAAAAACAGGAGCAAGACGCAGGAGCTTTTTGGTTGGCACTGATCAGGATAGATTCAGGAAAACCAAATTTTAGAGGGATCACTGGTTAATTCATGGTGCACCTGGCTAATGGGTTGACTCTGATTTGTTGGAGTGTCACTGCAGAAATGCACCAGGGAACAGGTATCCCAAAGCTTTTCTGTTAAGTCAAAAATAGCAAGTGGACTCTAATTGGTTGAAATGTGACTGTGGAATTCCCCTTAGCAAGTATCAGCCAATTGGTACTTTGGCTGACATGCAGCACAAATTATTATCTCCTCTGAAATTTGGTTTTCTTGCATCTGTCCTGATGAGTACAAGAAGAAAAGCTTCAACTTCAAGTGTTGCTTCTACTTTCAGCAATAATGTTCCCTTGAGGTACCAGACTAAGTCATCAACATTTAATATTGCACTAATCACTATTGAAGTGAGTTCAGCACAAGTTCAGGCCATTCGGCCCAGCTACTCTGGGTCTGTGTTTATGCTTCATAGTATCAGAGAATTGTTACAATGCAGACAGAGGTCATTGGCCCCATCATATCTGCACCAGTTCATTTACCTTGTATCAATCTCCTGCCACTTCCCTATATCTCTGCTCACCACTTCCAACCAATACACACACACACACACACACACACACACACTGGAGGAGTTGGGGTTGAAATATCTGTGAAGAGATTCGATCAAGGGGTTCAAAATCATTAGGAGCTTAGAAAGAGGAGACAAGGAGAAACTGCTCCCATTGACAGAAGGATTGAAAACCAGACGGCACACATTAAAGGCAGCTAATTGGCAGAAGAAGCAATGATCTACATGAAAAGAAAGTGTTGTCATGTAGCGGGTGGTTAGTAGGCTAGAAATGAACTACCTGAATGTTGTGATGGACAAGTTCAAAAGTGACCTTCAAAAGGGAACTGGATCATTGGCATGGACAGAAACTGTGGTGATTTACTGTTGCAGGGATGAAGTTTGGACATCGCGGGTGCAATGACCACCTTTCGCCAGAACTGACCTCTGGGATTACAAGGTGTAGAGCTGGATGAACACAGCAGGCCAAGCAGCATTGGAGGAGCAGGAAAGCTGACGTTTCGGGTCTAGACCCTTCTTCAGAAATGGGGGAGGGGAAGGGGATTCTGAAATAAATAGAGAAAGAAGGGGAGGCGGATAGAAGATGGATAAAGGAGAAGATAGGTAGAGAGGAGACAGACAGGTCAAAGAGGCGGGGTTGGAGCCAGTAAAGGTGAGTGTAGATGGGGAGTTAGGGAGGGGATAGGTCAGACCAGGGAGGACGGACAGGTCAAGGAAGCGAGATGAGGCTAGTAGGTAGGATATGGGGGTGGGGCTTGAGGTGGGAGGAGTGGATAGGTAGGAGGAAGGACAGGTTAGGGAGGCGGGGATGAGCTGGGCTGGTTTTGGGATGCGGTCGGGGGAGGGGAGATTTTGACCATCTCTGACCTCTGGGATTGTTGCCTTGAGCAGAGTTTGAGAGAACCGGGTCGCGTTTAGACAAATGAAAGGTGATCTCATTGAGTTGTACAAAGCTTGAGAAGGTGGATGTGTTTCTCCCTGGTTCCATGAACGGAATTGGGGGTAGAACCAGAGGGCACTGTGTCATATTAACAGCACGGCTAAAATGAGGAGAATTCCTTCAAATGGAATGCAGTGGTTCAAGAACGTAGCTCACCACCACCTTCTCAAAGGGCATTAAGGGCATTAAATGCTGGCCCAGCCAGCGACACCCACGAGGGAACAAAAATAAACTCTGGATGACGTTTTAGAATTCTGTAGTCTACTAGAGGGCTACGGAAGCTTGAAGTCATTGAATGTGTTCAAGACAGACCAGTGGATTTCTAGGTATCATGAAATATGTTGAGAGGGCGTTTCCCCTCATGGGAAAGTCTAGGACAAGATGGCATAGTCTCAGAATAAAGGCATGCCAATTCAAGACTGAGATGAGGTGGAATTTCCTTACCATCCTTAGCAGTGAGAGCTATGGAGGCACAGTCCTTGTGCATATTTAAGGCTGAGATAGGTGGATTCTCGATCAGTCAGGGAATCAAGGGTTATGATGAAAGGGTAGAAAAAGTAGACTGTGATGAGGAACAATTGAAGAAGTCTTCTTGAACTCAGAAATCTAAGGGAGATTTGATTGAAGTTTGGAAAGCATGAGTCTAGTCAGGGTGAGACGGAACAGTTTTGAAGTGTTTTGCAAAAGAAGCAAACACGGGTTGAGAATAGCATTGTTCACACAGTGGGTAGTTCAGTTTGGAAGGCACTGCCTGTGGAATCGGGTCCAATCGGGGAATTCAAGATGGTACTGGATGGTTATTTAATCAGAAACAATCTGCAGGACTACGGTTAGAAAGCAGCAAATTGGAATGCTCAAAGAGTTGGCACGGACCTCACAGGCTGAATGGCCCCCTGCACTGTAATAATTCTTTGATCCTGTGTAATAGTATTGAGGGACAATATCAGCACTGTGGTTGACTCTTAACAGCCCTCTGGGCAATAAAGCTAGTGATGCCCACAGCCCATCAATGAAAAACAATGATCTAGCTGAATAGCAGAGCAGTCTTGAGGGGCTGAACAGCCTCCTCCCTGCTCCTATTTCCTACGTTGTGCAATGACTAGAGGAGCCCAAGGTAAAATGTCCCTCATAACGTTTGCCTGCTCCTGAATGAAACTGTATGATAGTCATACATCGGTGTTGATAACAAAGCGACACCGTCCTCACCATGATCCACCAGCCAAGCCATGCAGAGTGAGTTCAGTTTCTCATTGAAGAAATCAACACCCTGTGGAGGAAAACAGACAGCATTTTTAAAGGGGAGACTTGGGCAGTTCTGCAGTAGACAGTTTGAATATCATACTGACCTTGTATTTGCACCCTCCTGTGCACCAAGCCGGTTTCTCCTGCCGAAGAGAAGGACAGCGCCAAGGACAGATCCTCCCCCTCACGCAGCTGTCAATACGTTCAGCATACATCAGAACAGGAGGCCATTCAGCGCCCTTCTCAAGCCTGTTACACAGAAACAGGAGGATGCCATTCAGCCCCCTCCTCATGCCTGTCACACAGGAACAGGAGGAGTCCCATTCAGACCTGTCCTCAAGCCGGTTACACAGGAACATGCACTATCGAATCAACCATCTCCCCTGGACATTTATGGAATTACTATCATTAATCTCCCATTTTTAACATCCTTTGGGTGGGCAGGGGTCACTATTGAGCAGAAACTTAAGTGGAACAGCTATGGCCACACTGCAGCTATGAGAGCAGGTCAAAGATTGGAAATTCTGTGCCAAGCACCTCAACTCCTAATTCGGCCCAAGCCTGCCCACTACTTACAACAAGGCACAAGTCAGGAGTGTGATGGCACTTGCTTGGATGAATGCAGTTCCAACAACACTCAAAATGCAGAGGGGCAGTTCTCTCCTGAGTCCTGGGGCTGATATCTATCCCTCAGCTAACATCACTGAAACAGATAAAGTGGCTTCAGGGATCGCATCACTGTTTATGGGATCTTGCAGGGTGTAAAGTGGCCGCCCTGTTTCGTACAGTTACAAGACTGACTGCACTTCCAAAAGGTTACCTTGATTGGCTTTGAAACACTGGGCGATGTCCTGAGGTGGTGAAAGTTGCGAGAGAAATGAGAGTTCTGCCTTTCTCAAAGACCACATCAAACCACTTACTTACCAGCTGGCCTGCTAACAGAGGCATGTACTCGATGATGGCCAATCGCACCCGCCATTTTGCATCTTCTGCCAGCTCAACAATGGCAGGGAGCAGAGACTGTGACAGCTGCCTGATGCCAATCACCTCATTCACACAGTCCAGGTTGGAAATGATGTTCAGTCGGACCTCTGGGCACTGCAGGGAGAGAGAGAGAGGGAAGGAATGACAGTGGCAATGCACAGGGAGAGACAGAGCATGAAGAGAGAAGTAGAAAAAGAGGGAAAGAATGCAGAGAGAATCAGAAACAGAAAGACACAGCACACAGAGAGAGAGAGAGAGAAGCAATAGATGGAGAGAGACAGCACAGAGTGCGAGGGAGAAACAGAGAGCAGAGAGAAATAAAGACAGAGACAAGGAGAGAACACGGAGGAAGATAGACAGATGGCAAAGGGAGAAAGAGAAAGAGAGCAGAGATAGAGGAAAATACAGTAGAGAGTAGACAGCCCAAGGTAGACCATGCAGAGAGAAAGAGAGAGAGTGACAGTGCAGAGAGAGAGAAAAAGTGCAGAGAGATTCAAAGAGACAGTGGCCGTACAGTGAGAGAGCGAAAGAGAGAGGGCAGAGAAATAGACAGGGGCAGAGACAGCGTGAGAGAGGAAAAGGGTAGGTATATAATAATCAGAAAGCAGGCAGTAAATGAGAGAGAGATAGAGAAGGCAGAGGTGGTAAAGTAAGTGTGCAACAAATCAGTGAGGTCACAGAGAATTTATTACTCACACAGTGAGCTGTTTATCTTGAACATGCTGCCTTAATAGGCAGTGGGAAACAGGTTCAATAGGAACTTCTCGGCACACAGAGAGACACTCACATCATCTTTCAGCTGTGCGAGGAAGAGGGGCAGGAGGTGCTCAATGGTGTTCTCCTTCCCCAGCATTGGAGACAAGCCCATGATAACAGCAGCCAGGGCAGACTTCACATGCTCATTTGCATCCGATACCAGCTCCTAATTCAAGGCAGAGCAAAGCTCAGTGAGCAAGCATTCTGATTTTATACACTGCAGTTACAGTTCAGAGTTAGACTCAGACGGCAGACGTCTCTTGTTTTGAGATTGATGGAAGGTGGACAGAAAAGCAGGAGGTGATCACGTTTGAACCTTTCTCAACTCACTCCATATTTACGTGTGAGCAAAAAACACCAAATCCTTGAGGCGATGGGAGCAGGGCAGAAATTCCTGCTTCCCGCGGAACCCTCTGGGCTTCAGTGCCTTGGGTGGCACAGTGGCTGAGTGGTTAGCATTACTGCCTCACAGCACGAGGGACCCAGGTTCGATTCCACCCTCGGGCAACTGTCTGTGTGGAGTATGTACGTTTGCCCAGCGTCTGCGTGGGTTTCCTCCGGGTGCTCCAGTTTCCTCCCACAGTCCAAAGATGTGCAGGTTAGGTGGACTGGCCACGCTAAATTGCCCTTGGAGTCCACGGATGTGCAGACCAGGTGGATTAGCCTTGGGAAATGCAGGCTTACAGGGATAGGGTCTGGGTGGGATGCTCTTTGGAGGGTCGGTGCGGACTCGATAGGCCAAATGGCCTGCTTCCACACTGGCGGATTCTATGATCTGTGCGCCACATTTAAAAGGTACCCGACACTCTCTGTAACCCAGGATTATGAGCATAGGTCAGGGTCATCGCACACCCCCCATGCCATGCCTGGAGCTGTGAGACATGCCCCATGGTTCACTGACACCTCCCTGTTTACTGGGGCTGACCTCTTGGCACTGCAGAGAGAGAGGGAAGGAGTGACAGTGGCAATACATGATTACCCCGAGCGACCATAATCTGGTCAAAAGGTGGATGTGGCGGTCAGCGCCCATGAGAACCCGAGGAGACACTGGAGTACGGCTGAGGGCTCTGGCACTCGGAGGGCTGCTCGAGAACAGGCTGAATCCAGAATCTACCCTCAGCTGTAAAAGGGCTGGTGGAGATGCAGGGGCAGGCAGCAGAAGATCTGGCAGAAATCAATCAGAGACCTGAACGGTTCTGTTGGACGTGGCCAAAAAAGGAGCCAGGTCCAGCGCCTGCAAAGTCCATGCTCAGACCTTGACACGGGCCACATTGCCCAGCTGGGGGAAGAGGTGTCTCAGGGAATGTGACCTCTCTCCGGATGGCTGTTGTCCTTGAGGGGAGAGGGAGTTGCCATTGCACACTGACAGCAGGGGCGATAAATGGGAAGCCATCCTTCCACTGTCAGTGGCACTAAGACGCAGAGATGGGAGAATAAAGAGCAAACAATATTGAAGACACTTTTGGAGGATGGATGTTAATATACTGAAACAAATGCTTGTGGTCATTGGCTTGTGAATGCGTTCCATTCTGGAGTCCGTTCACAGGTTGATTTGTACTCAAGTTGGAACACAGTGCAGAACAATATAAATTATTTGTTATTAAGTACAGGAAACATTCATGTGTCAGATCCTTAAAAGTACACCCCTATATGGATTGTGCTCATAAGTACAAGTGTTTGTAAACCTGACATTGGTAATTTGGGGACCCCCTGTATATGGCACTTTGTGCTACATTCCCGCGCGCTCTCTCAATCTGTTATGACATTGCACTATTGATGCTTTCCTTGAAGACTACCTTGAGGAATAATGCCTCCCCTAGATATTCTTATGCACATCTTGAACAGCAGTGCAAAGAGTGCTGAAGCTCCAGTTCACTGCTGAGAAGCATATCACCCCTGCAAAACAGAACCCTAAACTAGATGGTTGGGCTTCGGTATTTAATCATCATGGTGTAACCCGTCTACATCTCTGTGATAGATGAATGCCCTTTTCAAACTAAGCTTTGTGTCATACTTGAGCAGACCTCAGATGAGCCTGCAGAACCTGATACCAATGCGCTGGCCAGGAAACTGAGCAGGAAATTATTGGTGCGAAGAGAAGGATTACAGCCATTTATAATCTATGACAGAGTATATTAAAGTTTTATTGCTATTAAATAAACCTTCCCTTAAGGCCAGTGTTTAGGACAGAAATGCAATACTATACTATATGCGTCCTATCTTATTGTAGACACGTGATTTCCACAGTGAAGGATTCATTACAGGCAAGAAACTTACAGCCAGTACAATAAAGACAGATACAAACTAGGCTGTTAACTAGATTGAGCTTGAAATGTATCAAAGTAGAGCTGAGATTGAGTGTTCAAGAGCTATACTGAAGCACAACTATCAAAAAATGAACACAGGAACATGCAAAGCTGCCAAAAGCTCCAACAAAAGGGACAAAGGATGCCACCGAAAGCTGCTGAAGGCATTGGGTAAGACGCATTGGCTACAATTTTTCCTCTCATGGTGCTGCTCAGAATGAAATAAAACACTGCCCTGGTATTTTTTTCTCCATTCATAATGGCAAAATAATGAAATTGTGACTGATTTAATGAATAAACCAGAACAGTTATTAGTAGGGAGCCTTCCATCATTGTTGGGAAGAGATTGCTCCAAAGTGTCTTTCACCTGAGACCTCTCTGAAGAGCAAAAATAAATGGGCAGCAGAAATTTTGAAACCTGAGTGAACTCAACCAATGTTTGATAATAGGGCCCAAGATGAAAAAGAGTCCATTGATTAAAGTTACTGTATTAATGCAACTCAAAGAATCCTGTGACTCTGTGTAACCAAAGGATGGTCTAATTAAGGACTGGATTGTATTAGACATAAGAGGTTCCACAGTGACTGCACGTCACTAAGAGAGGAGAAACCTAGCTTCAAGAAAACTATGAACATGTGCAAAAGCACTAAGGTTGTAAATCAGCAGCTGGAGCTTAGTCATGGTATAGCGACTCTATAGGTCCAAAAGGCAGAACAATTGTGGAGCATTAGGCAAAGGCTGCAGGAGATATCACCCAAAGAAGAAAATATATGTCAAGCGTAGAGCAAACAGGCTGTTACTTCCGAGCCGAGTTATTTTGCACAAGTGCACAGCTAAAATATACAACAGCAGATACACAGGACTCCCGGAGAGATATCAATTGAAGATTCTGATGAATCACTGTACACCAGATTACAGCAGATTGATTCAGTCTGATCAACAGTCAATGAACAGTTTGTGACTGTTTTAGTGAAGACAGCCGAAAATGAACATTAAGTCAACATAAAGTGACAGATAGGCACTGGTGTATCATACATAATGACCTTCACAGACCTGTCTGAAGTGACTCAACATGGCTATTCAAAAATGAAGCCCTTGAAAGTAAGTCTGAGGCACCATATCATGCCAAAAGGACATAATCCTCAGAGTCTAATGCAATAGCAAATGTCTTGCTCAAATCAAGCAAATTTCTTTTGAAATTTATTCATTCATGAGATGCGGGCATTTTATTTATTTATTATCCCTAGGTCCTCCTTGAGAAGGCGATGGTGAGCTGCCCTCTTGAACTGCTGCAGTCTGTGTGCTATAGGCACCCACAATGCTCTTAGGTAGGGAATCCAGGACAGCAACACTGAAGGAACGGTGATATATTTTCAAGTCAGGGAGGTAAGTGGCTTGGAGGGGAACTTGTACGGGGTAGTGTTCCCATATATCTGCTGCCCTTGTGCTTCTAGAGTCATGGGCTCATAAGGCACTGTCTAAGGAGCCTTGAAAAATTTCTACAGTGCATCCTGTTGATGGGACACACTGCTGCTACTGAGCATTGGTGGTGGTGGTGGGAGTGGATGCTAATCAAGTGGGCTGCTTTGTAATGGACAGTGTTGAACATTTTGAATGTTTTTGGAGCACCACTCATCCAGGCAAGTGGGGAGTATTCCATCATACTCCTGACTTGTGCTTGTAGATGGTGAACAGGCTTTGGGGAGCCAGGAGATGAGTTAGTCACTCCAGGATTCCCAGCTTCTGACCTGCTCTTCCAGCTACAGTATGTAAATGGCAAGTCCAGTTTGGTTTCTGGTTAATGGTAACCTCCAGGTTGAGCATGGGGTCAAATATAAAGCTCTGTCTACACTGTTCCCATCAAACACTGCCAGGACAGGGATAGTATGGCGTTAGATACGGAGTAAAACTCTCTCTGTACTGCTCCCATCAAACACTGCCAGGACAGGGATAGTATGGCGTTAGATACAGAGTAAAACTCTCTCTGTACTGTTCCCATCGAACACTGCCAGGACAGGGATAGTATGGAGTTCGATACAGAGT